TATTTTTCTCATGATATATGAAAGCTTTTAATTTTGTTATCAATTCATTAGAATTCTATTTTTTTATTTCATCATCAAAACTAGCAAGATAAAAAACATCACAAAATACCAAATTTCCTGCTGATTTAGGTTATTATTTTGGTCTTGATTTCTATCTTGATTATTAGATCCTTTTTTCCTTTAATTTATATCTTATTATTTTTATCTTTAGATATTGGAATTGGTTCAACTATTTCTTCTTCCTTTGGATTATATTCCTTTGGATATATTCCTATGCTAATTTCTTCATTACTTGCATTCAATCAATTTCTGAATCTCAAAACCATATTGATCATATAATTTCTTTAACGCAACTATTTATAAATGAGAATTTATTTCCATTATACATTTCATCAAATCTAATTCATCAGGCAAATATTGAGATTAAAAATTATCAAAAATTACATCAGCACCACAATCTTCATGTGCAAATCTTGTTTTTAACAGTTTTACAATTATTACTTCACTCAAATATTCATACAAATGTTAAGACCCAATTTATCTTCTGAATCTTTAAATTTCTTTTCAGCCTTCTCTAATAATTTTTCTCTCTCCTATTATCCAAATTGAATTTCATTTTATCTATTTTATAAAACCACTATTTAGAACTAAAACAAATCTTGTTTCTTCTTTTTTATCAGCAGTTAGAATTATCTCAACTAGTATAATAATAAAATTCATAAGATAATAATAATGAGTCACCTAATAATAAAAAAGAAAATAAGAAATAAAAAAATAAGAAACAAACATTAAAAGATAAAGTCATAACATATGAATTGATATAATAATAAAATATTAATTAAAAGAAATCGTCAATAATGATAGAGCAAATGAATCAATTGATTTGTTTGCTTGAATTTTTGAGTCTAATCTTAGATTAGAAAAAAAAATTGAATAAATATAAGAAGAAAATAGAATATAAAAAGAAAGCATTAATAAAATAAGTGAAGAAATCTAATTCTGTAATTCATAATTGAATGAATACAAGAAATAAAATTAAGAAATATAAAAATAATAAAAAATGTTTGTTGAATATCACGATAAAATACAATAAGATCAAGAAACATAAACATAAATTATTGAGGAGTTTCCAATTAAAATTCTAAATAATTTACATCTACCAAAGCAAAAAAAAGCGGAAAACATCACTAATAGAAAAAAACTAGTTCATGAGTTATAGCTGTCAAAATATATCTCATAGTATATCCAAAATAATTTAAAGTAGTATTTATGAAATTAGTGAATTTTTATTGTAATTTCTGGAGTATAATAATGCTTAACTATTGAACTAAAATACAACCATGAAAATTGCCAAACATAAGAAAAAACCAGTAATCTTTGCACTATTAAATTTCTTATCCTCATAAAATTAAAAATTTATTTCATAA